TGACGAATATAGACAATTAAGTAAAGAGAGCCATCTGCAACTAGAGATTGCAATTGCAATCGCTGTATGGGTTAAATAGGGCTACTAATGTAGAAAGGAAGGTCCCTACGAGCATCGAAAGCTACTGAACATCCTCACCTAATTAACTAGCTTCTCGGGGAGAGAAGGGATTTTGGCAACAAACAGCCCCCAAACTATAGGTTACCATCCAAGCTATTCTTAAAAAAGAATAAACAAGAGGAGGGGTATGGTCCTCCTCAGTGCAGTCTCCAGGTACCCTATTCGACTGCAGGTGTACCCAAACATGTGCCTATTTGTTCCACTCCTCAACAATCCCTGGCTATCATCGGTTAATAAGGGATCTAGAGCCCCTTTACCAGCATGAGGGCCATACTGCCCTTGCAGAACACCATCAGGATCCTTCACAGCATGGAAATTTGACCTTCCACACCAAAACCCATTTACATCCCCCTGCGCAGAACCCAACCGGAAGAAGAGAATGCCCCTCTCCTTTTCCGATTTGCTCAAGGTAACATTGATGGCGCCTAAATGCAGCCAAAGTAGAGGGGAATCCATCTCAGGTTGATCAGAAAGCGCTGTTAATGGCCATTGACATCCACCTGGATCTACTATTACGACATCAATGTGAGATGGCGTCTCTCGGCACCACTGCTCACAGAACAGCAAAGCCCACCCTAGATCTAAAAATGGCGAGAAAGAGGAACTTTGAAAGGCAGACCCATCCTTCCAGAACAGAATCAAGCCACCCCTTCTCTCTGCACAATTGCACGCGAAATAGTGAGCCATCCCTAGATCTATTCGGAACAAAATCGTCTCCATCCCAGATTGCTGTGTTGCAGGGAGCGAAGCGGGATTCGGCATTTGTTGGAGGCTCGATTGATTGGACTCAAAAATCAAATAAACCTCTTCGAGATTGCAATAAGTCCAAGGCAACATAGGCGGATGAGCTATGGGAAGAACAAAAAGAGAAGTGGGGGGAGAAGCCCTGCAGGAAACCAAGGAGAAGCGCTTAAGCGAGGGGCTCGACCGTCGCGAGGAAACCCTAGCGACGGCGAGAGAAAAAAGCCCTGGCAAACCTGTTTCGAATTTCTATTTTATAATTTAAATTTAAGATTTGATATTAATATACAAAAGTATTAATTTTCTTAAATGTAATGACTTGATGTACGGTCAGTCGGGTATTTCTTTAAAATAGCTCAAAATATGTAAAAATTGTCCAAAGCACCTAACTTAATCATTAGATGGATAAATGAGTAAAAGTACAAATAATAATGTCAATTTTATATTTTTTTTATTTAAATATGTTAAATTTACTAATTTCTAAATAAAAATGTTAAGTTTAGTTTTTTTAATTTAAAAATATTAACTTTT